CTCTGCTGGCACGGAGTGCGGCGTTAGGGTGTTGGGTTGTGGAGCGGGAGGCCGAGCTCCGACCCGGGGGGCCGCGTGATTAAACCTTCATCTCTGAACGGAAGATGTGAGGAGGTGCTACTGAAAGCTCCCGGGAAGCGCCGTTACTTACTGCACCCACAGAGGCATAAACAGATAGAGTGACTCATGTGGGAATGACTGACGGTGCTAAACCCAAGGTTCAGGACTTGCCGGCTCCCAAACCCCTCCTGGGTTGCTGTGCTGGCTCATCTGACAGCGAAAGGAACCCTTATTGCTGATAAGGTCTCCAGATATCAGGAATCCTGGTTTATTTGCAATAACACGGCTTAGAAAGCATCTTGCAGTTACTAAGATTGGTTTTCCAGGGATTTGGGACAGTGAAGTGCATTCTGGATCATGTGCTTTGTCATGGGAATGGTATGAGCTATTCTAGACATTCATAGTAAAGTTGAAAACACCTTCTGAGATTGAAAAGCTTCAGCGCTGCTTCACATCCCTTACTTTTACCATAGAATCCTTTAGGAAAAGGAAACCTTTAGGATCCTCGAGTCCAACCGTTAACCCAGCACTGCCCAGTCTACCACTAAATCACATCCCTCAGTGCCACATCTACACATCAGTCTTTCAAACACCTCCAGGGATGGTGACTCCAGCACTTCCCTGGGCAGCCTGGTCCAGTGCTTGACAGCCCTTCATTTTTCCCAATATCCAACCTGAACCTCCCCTGGCACAACCTTTAGGACACAATTCCTAATTGGGAAAATCACTATTTTTCATTAAGTAGGAGTATTTTGTGTACAAGGGAGTTAAGGAACCCGATGGCAGCACTGAATAAAGCAATGAGAAGTGGTGAACTTTGAGATGATGGCATTGTTTTCCACTGGAGAGCACTAGAGGTTAGCACTGTGTTTGCTCTCACTTGGACTAATTCTAAGACAAGTAACAATACTTTAAACATGTATGCTCTGTTGTCTTCTTATGCACTAAGCTAGTGGACCTGCATAGGAATAATGAGGAAGAAGAAAAGAGTCCAGCCCCATATATTGGATTTCTTGGGAGTTCTGTTTAGACACCATCCTCCTAAGCTAATGTTTAACATAGTGAAGCCAGGGCATAGGCAGTTAAAGTACACATTTATTTCTAAATATGGCAAAAGGAAAGAAAAGCTGATTGCCCTTGAATTGTTAAATCATTTTAGCTAAAAAAATAAGTTTAAAAAGATACAGTGTGTAATTTCCTACTCTCATTTCCTCAAGTGCAATTTTCATTTAAATTACTGGAAATGATCCCTATGAAAAGACAATTTTTTTTACTATTTTTCTTCAGCAGTTATCCGCTGAGGAAAACTGCAACTTCTCCTTGTTTGCCTGCTGTCTACTACAGATTAGAGTCTTTACTTGCTGCAGAAGTGCTGAGGGAAGCTCAGAATTCCTCTCTCCCTTGAAGTCATACATCATTTCCCTTCGCAGCAGTTGTTTGTATTGCGGAGGACACTGAGCACCTTTGGGGTGGGGGTTATTGACTTGTGGTTTTTTACCTGAGCATGAATAAATCCTGTAGGAAGCCTGCAAACAGCCGAAGCCCAGAGGTAACTCAGTTCTGCTCCCAGGACAAGGCTACCAGCCCGTAGCTTATTGCAGTGGACTTTTAACCTTGAGCTCACCATGCTATTCATGTGGAATACCCTATAATGTGAGGACAGCTCTAAGCAGCTGCAGATTACTGTGGGGATACAAACACCAATCATCTTGAATTGCAGCAGAGATCCTTTTCCCTATGTAGAGTTTTACAGTTATTGCCATCACACTGGGCAAATTGCACAAGTGCATCAGCTCAGAAGACATCCGCTCTGACAGATGGCAGAAATGGGTCAAGGTGTCTGCCGACAGCCTGTAAGGGACGGGGTCTCTGAGGATATGCTATTTTTGTCCTGTTTCTATTAGCAAAATGGATAGATGTGGTTTTCTTTCACAGCTGGAGCAAATCTGTCATGAAACAGGCAGGCTGTTGCCATTAGAGTTGCAATCAGACTGATGAGTACAAGTAGAAAAGAGCCATTTGTGCTCACATTTTATTTCTAGTCAGCTGGGGGGGTTCTAACATGGGTAAATGAAGTATTTCAGAAGATGAACAACAGAAAAAATTACCTGTGAGACAAGTTTAAGTGCTGTAAAAATGTATCTTATTAATAGTCTTTCCACTGTGATTGTGTTTTATGATGTGCACCTCACAGTCAGTGTGAGACCAGAAACTCGGGGATGGACTAAAAATAGGACAAGTTACAGAATGATACCCTAGTTGCTTGCCAGGAGATTAAAGGACCTTGATGATGACCTGTCAAGTTAGTAAACTAATCAAGCATATGAAACAGCACGAAGAAACCTGATACTATAGGTTTTGTAGCTTGAAAGCAGTGGCTGGCTGTGGTAACTACTGGAGTAAAATGTCATTATACTCTTGGAGAAAGAACTGCCTATGAAAGAAATTATTTTTCTGGTTAACAAGAAAAGTTATATTCCTTATTCTTAGAAATACCAGTTTGTTCAAAAGTAAATTGGTTTGCAATTTACTAGGGAAGGAAACTACCCCTTGGATCAGTATGGGGTGAGAAGAGCTTCACTGGGACATTACCCAGATGAAGAAATCTTTGTAAGAGCTTAATTCTGTGGTGGTTTATACCTTAAAGCACAACAGAAATCAAGCTAAAAGCAGATAAATAATAGCAATGCTGTGCTAAGTGAAGAGTAGTATAACCACGAGCAACAAAAGACATCAGACTTACGAGTGTGGTTATGAGGAGCAAGCAGTGCACAGCACAAATTGAGTCCCAGTGAGTACTCCTCAAATGCTGTGAGTGGTACAGATAGGGGCTGTGAGCTGCGATCAGCCACAACAGCAGAGCCAGGAGCTTTGTTGGAATTCTCCTGACCTTCAGAGACATTCACAGCCTTTTGCCTCAGGCCAGCTTTAAAAATCTCTACTGATTTCAAGTAATATGTAAGTCATTATACTTAGTTCACTCACTGAACTCTCTGAAGGTCTTTGCTTTCTCTCCCCATGGTCTGCTTTTAGGAAGTTACTTGGCTAGAGTGTCTCCTTCTTTGCATTTTAGCTAAGCATAGGATTTTCAATGTAATTTAGTAATGTTGGTAGAATTTTCAACCAGCAAAAACTGCTCATTTATACAGTTAACACTAACAAGGAAACACTTCTGCGGTGTTTCGTGTACTGCGCAATGCACGACATGCTCTGCTAATCGTGGATTAATCTCAAAAGTGCCAAAGATGACCCTTATTTAATGAGGTTAAAAGACTTGGCAAAGATCACAGAGCAGATCTATGGGAAAGCTGCAGACAGTGCTTGCCCACCTTCTGGCAGGTCCTAAGCTGTAATCATTAAATGACATAGTTTTACCAAGGCTGTAAATGGATGTCCTATTGCTGCTTTTAAGTGATTATTTTTCTAAGCATCCTGTTTCTAGAGACTTTTTCTATTGTTAAAGATTATTTTGCCTTAGTGAGGATTACAGCATTAGTGTTTGGTTTAGTAGTGTGAAATAGCTTAAATAAATGGGTATCGATACAACAGACTATAGTGGGTTGACATTATCCAGAGAGAAATTCCAAATCCAAAATGACTTGGGGGGGGGGGGGGGACGGGACACAACTTGCTGGAATGTACAATGCTGTGGGGGTGATTTGCAATGATGTGGGGGTTTTAAACATCTTACATTGAATCAGAGACCATGAGAAAATGAGTACATTGGAGCATGATCATACCTGGGGGAAAAAAGACCCCCAAATACTAGTAAATGTTATCTGAATAGATGCTGTGTCAGATCCAGATTCTCCCATCAGAACCAGAAGTGAGACATGGATGTGTATAGGATTGAGGCGAAGGGATCCCAAGGAAGGAAATCCACCCTATCAAAATGCTAAACTTATCCCTTGTAAGTCCTGCCCAGAGGGAAGTGAAATCCACATTATCTTCCTTTCACAAAGGGACATGGAGCGGAGCCCAGGGAATTCATCCCATTTGGAGAAACAAACCCAGGAGCAGCTCAGATTTCCTCCCAGCAGCACACCCTGTGAATGCAAGAACTGGGGATCCAGATGTTTTATCCTGGGCTCTCTCCAAAGGGAATAAAATGCTCAGGGCAAAACGATTGAGTGGTAAATTGCTGAAGGGCCTTTTAACTCGGAGAGCTAATACAGTATCACCAGAAAAAAAAACCAAAACAACCAAACAAGAAAACCAACCACAAGCCAAACCCAACTGCCTTCTTTAAAGCGGACACTTAAGGAAAGCAGAGCAAAATCAGGGGTTTATTAACATAACTGTAAGCGCCTTCTGTTAAATAAGGACTGAAACCCAGCAGCTAACGCTGCAACGCCTAAAAACGCCTCTGCCGGGCACCCGCACCTTCAGTACCCGCCGGAGGGGATCGGCTCCCGGCAGCGACCGCTCCGGGCCGCGGGCTGCACACCAGGCCTGAGGAGCACGGTGAGAGCCGGGCGGCTGGAGCGGCGACACCCGGGGCCCCGGCCTGGTGCCCCCTGCAGGCGGGAGGCCGCGCTGTCACCATGGCAACCGGCCGGCTCGGCTGGCGGCGGGGGTGGCTCCGGGCTAAGCCGGTAGCGGCGGCAGCGCCGGGCCCACAGAGCCAGGCGGGGCCCGCTGCAGGTGAGACGGGCGGCGGGAAGAGGGGCGGTGGGGCTCGGCCGGGCCCGGAATCCTCCCCCCCCCCCGCGGCTCCGCGGGGCACAGGGGCGGTGCGGGCAGCGCTGGTCTGCGCCCAGTCACTGACCGCGTCCCCTGCGGGCCCCTCGGGAGGGCTTCCCCGAGCTCCTGTGCCTTAGCTGCGCACACGGGTGGGGGGACCTACACGCGCATACCCACACACACAGCTGGTACATCCCTACCTACAGACACACACATGCAGAGAAACCGTGTTCAAAACTGACCCATCGCTTTACACATCAAAGTTACACATAGGGACTTATTCAACCTCCTTTGCCCGAAATCGCAGGTGAGAGCGTCCCGGGCGGCATTTGGAGCTGTATCTGTGACAGTCCTTACCATACATTCTGCTTTAATACTTGCTAATTGCAGGCTTGCCACATTGTCATCGTTTTAAACTTCCTTGTGTAGCACTTGTGTAAACCCACGCAGAGTGAGTGACTGTCAAACCGGTGCAGATCCCGGGTTACTGACCTTCAGATGCAGACAGTATGGTTCTAACGAGAGCTGATGCTATGCAGGACACAGGGCTGTGACTGTATTTGCTTGCTGATCCTAGAATAACACCTTTTATTCCCTTCCTCATTAGGATGATGGCTTCTATCACCGAGCGCACCTTCATTGCCATCAAGCCTGATGGGGTCCAGAGGGGTCTGGTGGGAGAGATCATCAAACGGTTTGAACAGAAAGGCTTCAAACTGGTGGCCATGAAATTAATACACGTAAGCTTTCCTGCATTTGTACACCTCCTTTTGCATACCAACTGCACCCTTACACCAGAGCAGCATGTTGTAATGGCAGATGTAGTCTACAGAACAATTAAACCTGAATGGTTTTGGAACAGTTCCAATTCCCAGCTCTGGCTAAATGCTTTAGACGTGCTAAGCACGCTAATTTTAGTAACCTGATGTCCTTAGTCAGAAGAGAATATTCTTTTAGGGGCATCCTATACCTAATAAATGTCTCTGAATAGCTTTAACAAATACCAGCTCACAGAAGTAGTCTGTGTTGGTGAAAGATACTCTTCTAAGTTGAGCTGTGGCTGAAGCAAACTGATCAAATCCATAGTGACCAGAAGTACTTCTAGGAAGATATCAGAAATGTTGCATTTTCAAGTGCATGCAAGTTTCAGGATTAGCCATGCTCTGTGGTTAATCTGTGTGATTTTAGCATGCTCTTAAGTTCTTACAGTAAGCTTTTTTTGATGGTTGGCTGGTTTTTAATGCAGGCCTCTGAAGAACTTCTGAGGGAGCACTACATTGACCTGAAGGACCGGCCATTCTACGATGGCCTGGTGCAGTACATGCACTCCGGCCCTGTGGTAGCCATGGTGAGTTCTTGAGAACGAAGCTCAGCTAAGAAAAATATACTATTTAATTGTTGTACCTGCAGTAATGTTGTCTTACTTGCGTAATTCTAGTTTATTTCTGTTTAAAGGACTTAAAAATCCCCACTCAAATACTGTCATTGGGAAGATGAGATGTTAACTCCTTTAATCCTTTTTCATAAGCTTTTTCTGCTCTGGGTCACTATGTTGAGGAGGAGGGCAAGGGTAAAGGCGGGACAAAAGTGGGGACACTGAGAGACAGTAAACCTGCACAAAACACCACTGTGAAATGCCATGCATTAAGCAAGCTGAAAAACAATGGTAGAATAGATTTACTGTACTCCTAAGTGACAGCAACTTTGAAAGTTTTTTTCTATCTGGCTTTATTAGAAGGGTTTTCTTTTTTTCTCCTTGATAGTGTATTTGTAACATAGTTAAGCTGGAGATCTAGACCTTCAGCGAGCAGCACTGTGAGGCCATTTACCATACTGAGATTTAAAATCATTCTCTTCCCACCCTCAGTGGGAAAAGGTATTGTGGGAGGGGAGAACTTCAGTAGACACTTCAAAAAGCTGATGGAAAATCAGAGATAAAGTATGTCTTGTTATTACAAATATTCAGATGGTATCTGTGCTGTGATGGACAGCATTGTGTCATTGGGGAGGGTTTGATTAACTCTTCATCTACTGATCTCAACTGATATTTTCTTTAAGGTGTGGGAAGGTCTTAATGTGATTAAGACAGGAAGAGTGATGCTGGGGGAAACTAATCCATTCGATTCAAAGCCTGGCACTATCCGTGGTGACCTCTGTGTTCAGGTTGGAAGGTATGTTTTGCAATGATTGATATCATCTAAAGACACTGAATGTGTCCAGTGGTATGTCATGATGCATGTAGGAACTGTGTTCCATCCTTCTCTGTCTTACGGAAGGAGCTCCCGTTCCCTCTGCCCATGTAATGTTATTACCTAAGGATGGAAATTGAATTCTGGTCTCCCCTCTTGACAAAAACGATGAGCAAAGCTGGGACTGCATGCTCTGTCCTCACTACTACTTTACACTTACTTAAAACTTCTCTCCACAATGGATACCTCTTCAAAAAAAGATGCTTTGTTTTGCACTTGAGGATTATGTTACTTTTATACCCACCTTTTCTTTTCCTAGGAACATCATTCATGGAAGTGATTCTGTTGAAAGTGCTGAGACAGAGATCAATTTATGGTTTGCTCCTGAGGAACTGGTTGATTACCAAAGCTGTGCTCATGAATGGATCTACGAGTAAAACCAAGCCTGCTCCTGCTGATATCCTCACTGCCTGTGAGGAGCTGCCAGCCTGTAGCTACTGCAGAGCCCCTCATATACACTGGTAGAAACCTGCCTCAGAAACCTGCGAGATCGCTTGGTTGTGAATATTAAATATAGCCAGTGTTTGCTGCTGCTTTGGTTAAAAAGCTGCCAGGTTAGAGATGGAAATGTACTTCGAAAAAGATGCTTCTGGGGGTGAGAGGTGTGATATTAAAACACAGAGCATATAATACATGTGTTTTTTTTTCAAAAATACTCTGTAGACAAACGGGGTATTTTGGTAAATAGGAAAAAAAAGGTAATAATTTATTGGGTAAATAAATATGCAAATGGATCAGTGTCAAAGGTTTACATTGTTAAATTGTTAGGGGACAACTAGTAATATATTGATAACGTGCCCAAATGTTGCAGATTGAACTGGATATCAAGTGAAGTGGCTCCTCGTGCCCAATACACTGCAGAAGAAAGGGTATGTATTTCTCTCTGCAGCGTGCTGTGCCCATACACAGAGCAGAGCTTTGAGTAAAATGAGAATTTTCCTTGGGATTGACACCCTTTTAACTGGCTTTGGTTCCCCCACATGGGATTTATTTAGCATTTTAGGGGAGGATTAATCGGCCAAGCTTCCTAAATGCCCTTTTATGGGCATTTTATGGGCATAATGTGAGGATGGATGAAGCAGATCTACCTTCAAGCACTTTACTCTAGCAGTCCTCTGGCAACGGTGTGGTTTGCTTTACTGACTGAACAGCTGATAACTGAGCTACATTCTCATTTGTGCTCTTAGTTGGAATTACAAAGCTGCTTTTGGATAAGGTATTTCAGAAGTGACTTTAGAATTAGTTTTTGTAATTTATCTATTCATGTAAAGAAACAGAGTTGTAACAATGCTGAATGTATTGCAGTAGAGGTATCTGCTCCTATCAGAAAACATCATCAACCTCTGGCAGAACTTTTCACAACAAATACTCACTGGATAAGGAACAAGAAATGTGTTGGGGTCAACATGATGTATTTATCTACCTGCAACCTTGTATTCAATAAAAGCAAGAGAGTTTCATTAAATCAGCTGTCCAAACTCCTACATGTTTTTTCCTACAGTGAGTTGTTTCAAATACTGAGCTGTGTAACGAATGCTGAATTCAATGCTTGTGATACTTGATGAAGATACCTAGCTCCTAAAAAGAGACGGTGCATAACAAAACAACATTCGCTGTTTCTTAAGTGAAATAAAAGGAAATTTTCACTGTACTGTTTTAGGTCTAATCAGTGACTATAAAGAGAGGGAACAATTCCCTGACTACCAAACTGTAGGTGAAGTTGTAGCTTCTCTTCTGAAAATATTCAGTGTTACAGAAGATACATAACTAAGTTAAAGGCTGATGGAGAAAAGGGAAGCTGAAACAAACCTGTGCACGAGATGAGTCTCCAGTCCCCCTTTTGCTCAAAGGATTACTTGAGATTTCTTTTTCTTGATCTGCTTACTACAAAATGGAGAAATCTGGGTTATCTGGAGAGCAACAGAAAGCGGCTGCTGAGTGTCATGGGTTGGGACTGAGAGGAGGTCAGTGCCCACACTCCTCATCTGCAGTGTGGGTCAGTGCCCACATCCTCACGTGCAGTGAGCACATCCAGTTTCACCAAGCACATCCAGTTTCACTGTGACTGCACAAGTGCCACACAGGGTATGGCACTAGTGCTGCACCTGTGGCACGCGATTATAACCAGCTCAAGCCGTGGATTAGTAAAAGGCCACATAGTAAACATAATGAACAGTAGCACCACTCTTCTCACTGTTGCTACCACGCAAGGCCAGGGGCTGTGCAGTTTTACACCTGCATTTTGACACTTCGCAGCTTCATGTCCCCACATGCCCACAAAACCACCGGTAACTCGCGTGGCTTACAGCTCCAGCGCCCCTGTTCTGCGAGGACACCATTTCCCGCAGCTGTGAGGGTGCTGCTGGGTCAGCAGCCCGTGGGGCTGCCTCTGAGAACGGCAAAGCAGGACCCTGCGAGCCAAACCTGATTTAGTGCAACCAAACGTCCTCAGTGCGGGCACTGCGGAGAACAACGATGGCCCCAGCGCTGCAGCTGCAAGCGAATCCCCCGCCAACGCGACAGGTGCCGCTTGGCACACACGGCCCGGCCGCCGGCCAGGCGGGGCCCCGGCCAGGGCTCAGTGGGAGCGCAGCGGCCGCCACCAGCCCCAGGCCCCGCTCTGGCGGGAGTGGGCGGGCGAGCGCCGAAGCGAGCCCCCAGCCCGGGCAGGCCCGCCCCCAAGCGCCGCAGGCCCGGCGGCTCCTCCTCTGCGCAGGGCGGGGGATCCGGAGACCGCACGCAGCCGCCTCCTCCTCTTCCTTCGGCGGCTGCGGTGGGGAAGGCGGCGGCTGCGGGAGCTCCAGCGAGGTGAGGCGAGGCGAGGGCCGGGCCTCCGGGCTCCAGTCCGCTCCGTGAGGGGTGCGGGCCTCGCCAGCGGCCTGCGCCTTAAGGCAGCCGGGCTTCCGTAGTGCCGGGCGCGGCGGCAGCGGCCTGCGGGCCTCGTCCCGGCCAGCGGCGGGGCCGGGCGGGAGCGGGGCCCGGGAGGGGGTGGACGGGACGGGACGGGACGGGGCACGCCGCGATCCCGGTGCCACGTGTGCGCGGGCGGGGCGGGCTCCGGGTCCCGCCGACCTTGAGGCCGATCGCTCCCCTGTGCCCCGCAGCGCGATGGCGGCCAACAACGAGCGCACCTTCATCGCCATCAAACCCGACGGCGTCCAGCGCGGGCTCGTGGGGGAGGTCATCAAGCGGTTCGAGCAGAAGGGTTTCCGCCTCGTGGCCATGAAGCTGCTGCAAGTAAGTCCCCTGCGCCGGGCGCTGCCCCACGTGTGTCCGGTGTGCGGCTCCTCCTGCATCAGAACGGGGATCCGGGTCCGAGCTGCGGGTCACGCACGAACCTTTGGTATCTGTCATTTCCCAAGCAGACAAATTGTGCTCAAATGGGTTAATGGCACCTAACTGAGAGCGAGAAAATGACCTTGAGTGGAAGGCTGCGTTGGGGAATGACATCCACAGATCCAGATGCTCGGAGGGTTGCTGTAATGCAAATAGTTTGACGCCGCACAGCACTGACGATAGTGCATTGTGCCTTCCTCTGATTGTACATTAGGAACTTCCATTGAAACCTGTAACAGCATTGCAGCAGCTGCTGGTAGTGTTAATGACTGATGGATCCCATCTCTGATGCTATAGTCTCACAGCAGTGATACCTTTTGTGGAACGATATATAATGTTACAACTTCTCTTTTAAAGGCCTCTGAAGACCTTCTGAAGCAACATTACATTGACCTGAAAGACAGACCGTTCTACCCTGGTTTGGTTAAATACATGACCTCTGGACCTGTTGTGGCCATGGTAAGTGGCTTTGTTTTACTTGAGGGCTACATTCTTATTCATCTGGCTCTGTAAATGTAAAATACTCAGAGATACTGTTGCAGTAACACTTTCTCACCCTGAACAGTTCTGATAGTGGCAAAAGAAAAATAGTGAAGACAAGCACATAGGAAGTTACTATGTATTAACAAGAAAGTGTGCATGTATAAAGTATGCATTAAAATGCTTAGCATGCACCAAACGATCTTCTGTTTTTGGCAAAAAAGGGTCAGAAACCCATCTTTGTGTCACTTTTCTGCACTGCCTCCAAAACAATACACTTGCCCTAATAGCTTCTCCTCCAGTTCTCACTGTAGCTGATGAGGCGCACCTGCTCAGGCTGCTCTTACCCCGGCCAACAGAAGGGTTTTGAAGTTGGCCTTGTACATCAGTTAACCGAGTTGTGGTGAAGCATCTTTGCTGGAGTCACAGTGGTGAAAGTCCTTTTCACAGTCACTTTCAGTCCCTGTGTGTTTTCTTAAGTCATTGTTACAGGCCTAAGAGAGAATCCTAGAATCTAGTTCCAACCCCCTGCCCTGGGCAGGCAGGGACACCTTCCACTAGAGCAGCTTGCTCCAAGCCCCTGTGTCCAACCTGGCCTTGAACACTGCCAGGGATGGGGCAGCCACAGCTTCTCTGGGCACCCTGTGCCAGCACCCTCACAGGGAAGAACTTGTGCCTAAGATCTCCTGTCCCTACAGGCCATTGTAAAAAAAGTCCCTCTTGTCAGCCCATTTACGTAGTGAAAAGGCTCTAGGCTGGGTTAATTTTCTTCATGGTAGAGCCCTTGTTTCTGTGCAAAGTGTGTGATTAGCAAAGCTTAATCTTTGGTATTTCGTGTAAGCAATGCTAAATGGGATTTGTTTGTTTTTATTTAAGGTATGGGAAGGACTCAATGTGGTTAAAACTGGGAGAGTGATGCTGGGGGAGACAAACCCTGCAGACTCCAAGCCTGGTACCATCCGTGGTGACTTCTGCATTCAAGTAGGAAGGTTTGTGCTCAGCTTGTTACCAATAGAGATTAACAACTCCACAGTGGTAGTCTTTGATTCTAGAGAGTCAAGACTGTGGGTAGCTGTCCTGGTCTGATGGTATTCTATTTGCAGGTCGCAACCCTTAACTGCTACTTAAGGAAATGGCTTGGCACAAAACTGATTTGTTTTGAACTGCCTCTCCTCATCAGAGCTTTGTGTAAGATCAGTCGGCGGCAGTGGCTGTTGTAGCACAGTAGCTGTAGTCACCCTGCCAGGCTTCAGTAGCTCTTCCAGAGGGGGTGTCTGAGCATTGTACCTGCAGTAGCAGTTGTGCAGCTCTGGGTGCTTCATGGTTTTGCTTAAGAACTTCTTAGGTTGATGAAGTGCGTTTTTATGTGAACAATGTGCTTCTCTCCTTCCCCAGAAACATCATTCACGGTAGTGACTCTGTGGAGAGCGCGCAGAAGGAGATCAACCTGTGGTTCAAACCGGCAGAGCTCGTTGACTTCAAGTCTTGTGCACATGACTGGATCTACGAGTGAATTGAGTTGCCACAGTGACTTGTGCCTTCTAAATGCATCATCTCATTCCAGCTACTACCTGGGAGCAACCACGGTTATCTGAGTCGTTTTCAGCACTGTCAAATAAATTAATATGAAGTCATTGTGTTGTGGTGTGTTCACTGTAAAACAGTCTGCTGTGTTCAGGTGGCCACATAAAACAGCTGACTTGTTTGTTCAGTATTTGCCTTGTGTAGGAGGATTAGTTAACACCAACTGTCTATCACATACAGGCATATCAATAATAATCCAGTGACTTTTGTTGACTACACCGTTGCTCTGAATGCTGCAAAAGTACGTTAGTCACAAAGCCAGCTTGCAAAGGGAGGCCTGAAGGGATGCTCGAGCTACTCCCACCACAGCAGAACTGAACTAGAAGAAAAATGAGTGCTACCCCATGACAAAAATGTCCCTTCCTACACAGCTATTAATACCAACTGTGAAATAAGAGTCCACTGCCAGGGATAGGGCAGCCACAGCTTTGCTGGGCACCCTGTAGCAGTGCCTCACCACCCTCACAGGGAAGAACTGCATAAACTCATCTCAAATCTCCCCTTCTTGTCAGTTTAAAGCCACTCAAGAAAGCAAGCTGGAATGTGTTCATGTACATGCCAAGGGGTGCATTCTACAGTGAAAGAAATCACTATTCAGCAAAAGACTTTTTGTCATTTTTATTTTGTGTAAAAAAGGCAAATTTAGTGAATTATTTTCATCTTGTACACAAAGTTATAATTTTAATGCTTTTCACATCCATGCTGAAAATCTGCAGTCTCATAAAAATGAAAGGAACATTAATTTCTCCAAAAGCATTTTTTTCACTTAGTTATGTACACTGCATGAGAAAGCTTTAAATAACTCTCTCATTGACCACACAAATTACCAAGAAAATAAAAGATTAAATTTGTACAGATATTGATCTATATATCAAATACATACAGAAATGATGTAAAAATCCCATTTAATCTTGATTCCCGCCCCCAACGTTTTCCCAGGGGCCAAAGCTGATGCCTTTTGCTTGTATAAATGGCTGTGGTTTTTTTGTGTTAAATATGAAAAGGAAGAAAAATTCAGTTTCAATCACAGTTTTTTTTAAAATCCCTTCCCAATAAAGGATTGTTACCAAATATATTAGCACCATCGTACAAATATTGACGGGAGAGGGTATTCACATCACATAAAAACAACAATAAAAAAACCAAACAAACACTGAAACCCGTGTTAGTATCCGTAGGACAAGGAATCGGTAACTGCTTTAGCTTTCCTCAGATGCAGCAAGGTTAAAAGACCTGTATTGAAAATAACATAAAACCCAAAGACCAGCAGAAGGATTCCGAGCAGTAACAGAAGGGTAGCCACAAAGTAAGGTACCACTTGCACTACCGTAGGCGTATGAAGACCAGCTGTGCCCAATACTGAAATCAGTTTGACCCCATTGAAGATTTCAGATGTCCAACGCTTGGCTGCTCTTCTAGCCACCTCACATGGCTTAAAGTGAAGATAAAAACACCAAGAGCCATGTTACTGAGTACAGTGAAGCCTACTCCGTGGGTACCACAGCCAGCTGCCTGCTCCTTAAGAGACTACTCTAAATACCCAGCATAATTTTGCTTGGGTTCTCCTTAATCCTCTCCGAA